TGTAAAAAGTTTAACTGAGTTTTAATAAAGATAGAGGCATGGCCTCACCTTTAATATTAAAAAAAAAAAAAAAAAAAGAACTAATAGTATTAATGTATCTCACTCTCGATCCTGTTTAACTAATTTTGCCAGAGATTTACCTAAGGTATAGTTATATCTCTCTACTAACCTATTTGTTTGCAGATAATATTGTATTGTTAACAAATGCTTTGTTTCAAAATTTCTTGCTAAAAATTTCAGCACTTCATTATTGAAATGATATCTCTATCCAATATTATATAAGCAGGACATCCATGGTGACAAATAATTTCTTAAAAAATAAAGTGGGCTGTTTGCTGAGCATCAGCTTTAGATACAGCTTGAGCTTCTGGCTATTTTGTCATATAATCAATGGCCACGATAATATAACGATTCATTTTTGAAGTTCGGTCTAAAGGTCTCACAAAGTCAATATCTATTTTATGAAATAGAGCTTCAATGGGTATCGGTTGTAATAGCATATGAATTCTATATTTCTCATGCTTCTGACATTTATTGCAGGTTTTAACATATTCGCTAATGTGTTTATATATTTGGGGCCAATAATATCGGTCACGAATCTTTTCAAACATCTTTTCTACCCCCAAATGAGCACCCAAGAGATGATCGTGTATAAGATATAGCAATGGAGCTAGTTTCTCCTGTTTTATTACTCTTAATAATTGGGGTTTTTTGCTTTTTCAACGATCCTTTTTGTAAAGTAATTGATTATATATAACAAAGAATTTACTTTGTAACTTCAACGATTTCTTTTGGCAAGAATTATACTGCAACAGATACCGAGCTATCTCTAAGAAAGTCTTTATATATTTGTATTTGATTGAATCTATTTTTTGTGTATATATATATAGAGAAATAAATAAATAAAATAAATAATAATAATAAAAAATAAAATAAAATGATAAAAAAAATAATTAAATAAAATAGGACAAAGTATTAATAAATATAGTGTTGTTAGCTAGTTTAATTGGTGATTAATTGGTTATATGGTTGCAGCAACTGATTTGCAAAGTTTAGCGTCATTTGTGGATGGTCTGCAATAATAATTAACAGTATATGATAGGATTGACAATCTTCCACCAAACTAAATTACAAAGGTAGGTATCTTTAAGATTGTTATGTTCATTTAATTGCCACATCGTAGGGGTAAGTAGTGAATCTAGCCACCAAAGATGATTTGTTAGATGACTTTCTACGTTATATTGTTCAATTAGATCCTTGACCCTAACAAAAACTTCATACCTTTTCTTAAACCTAGATTTTCTATTTTCCTTGGATAACTTCGCAATAGTATGCAGCCCCGATGAGTTGTCTGTCCAATCGTTGTCTTTATCTGAAGTGGGCAAGTAGCTCCTAATAATTTCTTCTACTGGATAACTTTTTA